ATCAATATCAATTATTTATGTTCGCGGTTTTTCACTTTTGTTCTCATTTATATTCACCTTCGGAAATGAAAATGATGAGCTGGTACGCATTCCGGTGCATGCACTCAAACCATTTCGTTTTCGCACACGTGCCATTGGGAAATCATTGTATCAATGTGATGCTATCATCATCCGAATTTCGTTTATCGCAACCTTTCCACCCCCAGATATCCTGCCGTGATGTGAGCTTCACCGTGGATTTGGACGACCGCGCCACAGCCGAAACGTGGGTACAGAGTCTGCAAATGGCAATCAAGTGAGTTGCGAGAAATGAACTTATTCCAAGCGTTTTGTGTGCACTTTAGTTAATCGTACTCACAAGTGCTAGTAGGCAATACTCAAGATTTGTTGCTGCTTTACTCCCCGGAGTGCAACTTTTCTGTTTTATACCGTTAGCCAAGCAAATATCGCGCATTGTACTTTTGTAATTCGCAAACATCTAAATCCAGACTGTGTGCTAGACGAATCACAGTACAATAATCTTCATAAAAAGAGAAAAGTGTTTCACGATTTGCATGTGGGTCGAATACTGTCAGGTTGCCCAGGCCAAGATAGGTGAATTTTCTTGAGGAATACACAACCGGAGCCTTCGGCTAGCCAAAGCCCTACCCGAAAGGCAGCGGGGCAGTATGTTCGAACCGCAATCCATTGGGGGCCGGTGTCCGGTTCATCGGATCATGCGCCCTTTGGACGGGGTCAGACGTCAGACGTCCAAGGTGCTCAATACACTTCGATGCCCGATTGAACCGATGATCACTGCCACAACCGGGAAGGTGTAGGTGTGGTTCGTACGCCTCCTCTTGGTTGGTTTGGAATTGGGGTTTTTGACCAACTCCCCTAGGTGATTTACCAGTGGTCCACCAACCCGGATATTGGCTTTTCGTCGTGAGGTGCAAGGGTGGGGTGACACAGCCACAACCCAAAATACCCACCCCTCCCATAGAATAAACCACAATACTGACGTCCTATACCGTCGTTTCCGAATATTTCATTCTAATCTATTTCTATTCCCGTAGACTGCAAGATCAGACACGATCCTTGACAACAGCATTGAGTTGTAACCTGATTCGATTTCTGATTTTCTTATAAAGGGTGAGCAAGTGTGCGTGAATAGGATATCGTATTTATTTCAAATAAATATATCTAATGCACCTAAATACAAAGTTACCGTCGTTTGTAGGGTTGTGGCTAACCGCATTATTCTCACTCACTCACTCACTGGACCATTTGAGGAAATAGTGAATTTTATCTAACCGTGCCAAAACGTGACGTTGATGAAAAATGATGTAGCAAGAATTAGAAGCTTTGCGACAGAGCTGGGTAACGATGGGGCAAAATCGTGGATGTCATATCGTTGCCACTGGCATTGTGCATGATGTAGTCGGTTAGAGAAGTGCAATGAAATAGACCTCATTTCTTTCTCTGTACCCGAGTTCCATGGTTAGGCATCTTGTCAATTGTGCCTTCCGATGCCCAAATGTGGTGTGTAGGCGATCGCATTTAGTCCAAGGAAAGCATTATTTATTTATTGTTCGAAAGAACCTCGGGTTCGATGGAGAATGTACTCTGTCCGTTGTTGTGGGTCTATGCTAGACACGTTCGGTGAACAAGTCATATCACGCCTGAGCATGTGGACAGATTTATCGATCCGCCTTGACGTAGCTCGCTTTCTCATCCGCCTGGTTCGGGAGGTACGAACAGTCAAACTCTAATCCGCTGAAACCTTCATCCGCACTCCGTAACTAACTGAAAAAAGTACTTTTTTTGTTTGTTTATGTAGAAAGCGGTTCAATCCGACTGGGGGGCGGGTGTTGTGATAGACCCCTGTGACGAGCGAAGCACCAAGCGTTTTGTACGGTTCCCAATTGAACGCAATTGGTGGAATAAGTTGAACTCACAAAATATTCCTTTAAAGTCTTAGTGGATTCAATTTAATTTAGAGTGGTTTCAGTTGAAATTGAT